GGACACCGAATTCGCTGATCGGAAAACGGCTTGGGGGGATGAAAGTATATAGTCTAAAGTACAAAAAAACGTGAAAAAAAAATGATTTTTTGAAAAAAAAGATCGGGAATACCCCCTTAATCCCGTTCCAGCAAAAAATGTTCAAACTTACTCCTACGTTGTGTCTCACTTTTCTAATTGTGGCCACAGCACGGCCCAGTGTGCGCACAGAGAAGAAAGTGCATACGATGCACTTCAGAATATCAGAGATGCCAGTACTCCGAATGTCACTGACAAGACGACCAGAGCGATACACACACTTGCAATTTTTGGATTGCACAAAATTGATCAAACAAGAGTTCTTCCACACCTTTTACTTCTCCAGAAAAATCTTTTATTTAACTACAGAAATTTTTAGTTTAAATTTTAGGTTTATTCACTTCGAGCTACTACTGATGACTGACTGATCTAAACAAATGATGATGGGAGGAATTGATGATCATGACGAAAAACCCGAATACAAGTAACCGAAGACATAAGGTTGCCAGTATAACTAGATAATTTCGCCTGAACGGGCGAAAATGCGGTGCTGTATGGGCTCGCTACCAAAAACTTCACATTATGTTTCATCAGAGGGGTTAGTGGATTTTCCTATGTTTCTAGGGGTGAATCGATTAGCTTGGGACCGAAGAGAGTACCAGAGCTGAGCCAAAAAGTTGAACACGTTTCTTCGGGACTTTCTAGTCTTAGAGTTACCTCTATGATTTAACTGTGCCGAAAACGAATACCTCATTACTTTTCCATAGTACTGAGGTACTACGACATGCACTAATCAAAGGACACGGACATATCACAAAAGATCAATGTATTGGTCGCAGTGATTTTGACAAGAACCGAGGGAGAAAAAAAAGTTAATTGCAGAAACTTTGGAGAAGTGCAAGGAATTATAGAATATTCCGAGAATTTCATAAATATTCCATAAATTTCTGGAAACCTGTGGGGTCTTCAGAGAAGTTCCACGAATATCAGGAAAATTGTTGGAACAAAAGAGAAGTTCCCATAATTTCTTGTAAATTTATAAGGAAAGAAGGAACGGAAACTCCTGGCAAGTCCAAAGAAGCTCAGGGAATTTTAGATATTTTAAAGGAAGTTTTATGAGCTTCAAGGAAGCATGTATCAAAAACGTCATTAAAATTGCGAGAGCTTCAGCATAGACCGAAGAATTTCATGGCAGTTTAGTTAGCTTCTGGGAGATCGCGGAAACTTTTAACGCTACGAACAAAAAAAAAACGTGTAGCGGCAAAATTGCTACACTTGAAAAATAAAAACACAACCATTTATTGACGAATTTCAAATCTATTGGCGCCATTTGAAACTGCAGACTTTAAACATTAATTCGATTCCAATTGATTTAAAATGTATCGATAAATTGCTGATCAATGATTTATCAAACATAGCCAATTTCCCGTTACACATTTTACCGGAGGCATCGTGTTCGGTGTGTTAAAACATTCCAAGAAATTCAGGGAAGTCTTGAGAACTTCACTGAAGATTAGAGATCTTTAGTACAGTTCCATTAACGTCACGGAAGCACTGGAAACTTCAGAAAAGTCTAGAGTAAAATATAGAAGATTTTAAAAATCTAGAAGATTTCAAAGTAAGTGAAAGCATTGATTATAGCTTTATCATCGTCAACGATTCGATTGAGGGGATAAGATATGAAATCTTCATCAGGGCTAGTTTAACATTAAGTTTGTTAAACTTTTTGCACTGCGCAAAAGACGGCATAACTTTATGTCCCCTGAGAAAGGCCTTGAGCTTGGTCGTATTTTTAGGTATTTTTAAGTTTTATGACAAGCTGATTGCAGATAAGATTTATCCGTTAAAAGGAAACTAAATTGTGAGTAAACTCTCAAATTACAATTAGGGAAGATGCATAAATAACGTAGCATTTTAGGGTGAGCAGCCATGTAGAAAATACGCTACAAGGGGGAGGGGTTTCAAAGTTGTTGCTTCATACCTTCGACCTCTCACCCTTGTAGCGTATTTTTCTACATAGCTGGTCACCCTAAAATGCTACATCATTTATGCATGTTCCCTTATGGTCACTCGTTGGGTATAAATTTACGATGGTCGGGAATTATCAGTGAGTATTCAGCTCCTCATTTACCATGACAGCACTGGTTTGAATGGCTATTGCATCAACTCGATCATTAAGTTGTGTATTATGATATGAGGAACGCGGCTGCCTTAGACAGCCGTTATTGTTTACTGAGCAGAAAATCGTGCGATCTTAATTTTAAGAAGTTTTAGAATCACGTTGCTTGCAATTGTCACTCGTCGTCGTCGTTGCCATCGGTACCTTAGAGCGCTCGTCTAGGCTTACTGAGCAGAACATCATGGGTTTGATATAAAACCCTTACACATTCAAGAGTCATTGGTCGCTTTCTTTCATTGCCATTTAAATGATCTTTATTTCTTGTGATTGTGTGGTTAACATGTATGAATTTGTTAAGTGACACAGATGCGTCTTTTCAACTTTGGTACATTTAAGATTTTAATTATTATTTACAGTTCCTAGTCCTATCAGGCCTATTTTAAAGTATGACCACCTTGGTGGGATTGGTTTGATTTGAATTGGAAAAAGGAGACTACTTATAACTACTTTTTACAACTACAACTAACCTACAACTACTATGTACACCTAACCTACTATATACAAATTGCTTATCAAAGCATGTTCTGATAAATTACATTTTTGTGCAAATTTAGTCTTAATTTCGTTAATTTTGGAATCTATTTTGGCAATGCCTGCCTCTTCATGTAAATTTGTTATTCTAGTGTCGAAAGGACGATCAAGAACCATCCTCAGCACTCTATTCTGAGCTACCTGAATTTTGTTCCTGTGAGTCTGTGCACATGATTCCCACACCGGAGCTGCGTAGAGGATCGCAGGTGCTATGATTTGTTTGTAGACGGCCAGTTTGTTCACCCTTGAGAGGCGGGATCTGCGGCAAATCAGCGGATACAGACACCTAACCAAGGCGGAACACTTGACTACGGTTTTCTCCACATGCGAGCGGAATAGGAGCTTTTCGTCAAACAACATCCCGAGATAGGTTACTTCGGCGGACCACTCAACCCTTGTGCCATCCATGATTACAGTACAAGAGGGAGCCGGTTTTAGTTTGGGTGATTGCCGATGGAGGAACATGATTGTTTGTGTTTTGGAAGCATTGATTTTGATTTTCCACGTGGTGGCATAATCAGCAAAGGCGTTAAGGCATCGTTGAAGTTTGTTCGTTATTTCGCGAGGCATCCTTCCTTTGACGGCTATTGCGGTATCATCTGCGAACAGGAAAAACACGCAACCGTCTCCAAGGGGAGAAATGTCGGAAGTGTAAATGCTGTAAAGCAAGGGTCCCAGCAGACTGCCTTGCGGGACTCCTGCTGGGATGGAAAACGTGTCGGAAAGACAACCATTCAACGATACCTTAAACGACCTTTGCTGGAGGTAGCTACGGGTGATTTTAACCAGATGTAATGGAAAGTTGAAGTTACAAAGCTTGTATACAAGCCCATTGTGCCAGACATTATCAAACGCTTTCTCAACGTCTAACAATGCCATGGCTGTGGACTTGGATACAGCTTTGTTACTTCGGATGTTATTCATCACCCGCACTAGCTGGTGATTGGTGGAGTGCCCCTTTCTGAACCCAAACTGTTCCGGAAGGAGAATGTTATTTTCCTCGACAAACTTGAGCAAACAATTGAGAATGAGTTTCTCGAACAATTTGCTCAGTGCTGAAAGGAGGCACATGAACATTAGGGTGCTTCATTCTGAAAAAAGTGATGAATTTCTGATGGGCCACCCTCCAGTTCGATTCATAGCCCCAAAATATGAACCTGTGCAAAAATTGGTAAAGATTGATGAAGGTTTAGAGGTCGCGCCAATGATTTGAAATTTGTATGGGAATTACTATGGAAGAATTTAAAAAATCGCTTATATCGCTATAACTTTGCTTCTACTTGTCCAAATGTCGAAAAAATTTAGTATGTTATTGCTATGGCAATAAACAAAAAGCCTACAGTTGCTACGCTCAGTTTTGCAGCGTATCAAGAATTATAAAAATGTGAAAAAATGGCAAAATAGGGTAAATTGACAGATGAATATGTACAAGGCAACAACGCCAATTTCATCGCAACAACAACAGGCTTGTTGATCATTGTCATGACAACCACATATTTTTTTTTTTCAACGTTTGGACAACTACAACCAAAGTTAGAGCAATGTAAACGAAAATCAATAATTTCCCATACTAATTCACCAAAATCTCCATACAAAATCCAAATCATTGGCGCGACCTCTAAACCTTCATCAATCTTTACCATTTTTTGCACAGGTTCATATTTTGGGGCTATGAATCGAACTGGAGGGTGGCCTATCAAAAATTCATCACTTTTTTCAAAATGAAACACCCTAATGAACATGAACACGTCCCTTTAATTCAGCCGTTTGCAAAAACGAACTTTGCTGCAAACCCAACCCTTATATTCAACATCCCAGTGATTTCTCATGAGAGGATTTGCAGAGGTTTTTTTGATTTCTAAACCATTCCTTAATCGGCCTGCATTCGGTCGCTACCGGCGCTGGTATTGCCAATAATAAAGTTTGAGATCTCCAGTATTTACACATTGAGAATGATAACTAGTTCCAAATATCATCTGTTGGTTCTCTGAGTAATTACAGTTGCTTTGGCAATATAGGAGTAGGCAACCGTGAGCTGACAACCATGCTCATGCTTTATCCAACAGTCTACCCGTGCATTCACAACAATCCCACATCCATAAGAAATCAAGAAAAAATGGAAATTGATATGCAATTGAAGGTCAAAAATTGTGATACAATTAAAATAATAAACTGATCCTCAGTTTTAAGTTTATTGTTCATACAAACATTGCAAACATCACACGCTTTGCTGTTTTATCATAATCTCAATCGGTTGTACCAGCAATTAAGTAGTACGTTAAGTTTCTCAAATATATGAATATAAAGTCGCCAAGTAAAGCACGTTAACAAATCAAAACGAACACAAAATAATCGATTCAAGGCCATAAAAAACAACCCTCGAACACTATCGATGATGTATACTGAGATCCAGTGGTCCGTCCACTTCCATGGCATCGACCCCCATCAGCCGAGCACTGTTCATCCGACGAATGGCACTGCACAAATCATCATCCTCCACAGCCGTCGGCAGCAAACCTTCATCATCTTTCCCAAAGTGCTCGAGTCCGTCCAGAGTATGGGATCCAGACTCGAGGAAGCCTTTCGGGAAGTTGCTATACGGTCGACGATAGTCTCGTTCTGGTTCAATAAGAAAACTTCTCTCGCACTCATCTCCGCTGGCCCCGTCCGGTTCCTCCAGGGACCTATCGGTCGTGTCTAGCAGGGGCGACATCGTCCTACCCCGGTATCCCGATGGCCACTCGTCGGCCTGCCCCAAGGGTCTTCCACTCGGATAGAAATGATAGTCAGTGAAGATTAATTTTTCATCACACTTGTCGACGTTGACGACATCAATTAGCACATTATTATCTTCGCCGTCTAGTTCAGGATTGCTAGTGGTGGTGGTCGTACTGGAAGCTCGACTGTCATCGGTATATGAGTTATCGCTTGCCATCTTGCCGGGGCTTCCGGTGTCATTGCTGCCGTACCGCATCGAAGGATAGCTGGCTGCAGTTGAGTGGAGGTGGTGGTGATGGCAATCATCCTCGGTAGCTCCCAATGGAACTAACAGGCTGAGGTGTTTGAAGGTTTTCACGTGCTTTCGCAATGATGATGGATCGGTGTAGCGCTTGTGGCATCCAGCGACCTTACACACATATGGCTTATCGTTCGAATGTGTACGTGTGTGCTTGAAACGATCCGAGGAGTTAGAATAGGCCTTGTTGCAACCCTGCAATCAACGGGAAAGCTACGATTAGACACAATTTATTGCCTTATTTGTCTAGGTATCGAACGGTTTCATCTTCGATTAGCTATAAGTCACGATTAAAAATCAAACCTACCTCAATGGGGCAAACGTACGGCTTTTCACCGGAGTGAGAACGAAGGTGAATTTTCAGATTCTCCGCACGCGAAAAGCTTTTTCCACACTTTCCGCACTGGTGAGGCTTTTCTTTGGTATGCGTCCGGACGTGCACCAGCATCTTGTAGCGGGCATTGAAGCCCCGATCTTGCCGCAAACAGTTCTCCCATCGGCAGTAGTACAAACCACCCAGCCCGACGACGGCGTGCTTCTGCGTGACGTGACTGGCCAGATCTTCCAGTTTAAAAAACACGCTGTAATGGTACAAAGAAACAATCATGATTAGCACTTCGTTATCAAGCCGGGTCTTTAGAAATCATGGCCCGTCAGCAATTAAATGATTCGCACATCTTGCAGGCACACATCCGCACGTATTTTTAGTAGATCCGCATTGTTGGCGGAAATAAGATAAGGCGATTTCAAGGTGGAGAGATTCCATTCAGTGAATTGGAATAGTAATGTTTTGCTCAGAGTCACAACGTGAATCAGCACTAGCTAAGATTCAGATTCAAAAGCACTTGTACCGGTTCCGGAAGGTTGTCCACAGTTGAACGATTGAAGCGTGCAACGAGCTACATTTTTTTATTGCTTAAAAATCAAACCATTGGAACTGTTGATCGATTATTTTCTCGTTTCAGGTCAAATGGAGTGTTAAAATAATAACATTGTTACATTTTTGATCTTCAGAAAAGTCTTTGAAGAGTTCTATTCAGAGCCTCTTCGGAGTGTGCCGGACGAGTGTAAACTCTTCCAACCAAGTAACTCTGCAGGTAGACTCGAAACTCTCAGCAATAGAAGGAATGAAGGATAAACTGAAAGGCAGCCAAACAATTTTCTCTACCGAGGAAGAACCCGATTGAATGCGATTAAATTGCCGAGTGATATATTTTTTGGCTCAGCGATTTTAATCAGTTGAATTATCCACAGCAGTTTTAAAGTATTTGCATGACGCCTCACTCAGAAGAATACAATCATAAAAGGCTCATCATGCAGCAAAAATAAGTGAAGAATCATCCACACTACTACACTCAAATTCATGCATGTTACGCTCCGCTGTCTGTTTCACCAAATAAAATATAAGCAAAGAGAATACGAACGAAATGTGTTGTATATGTGCCAGTTAGTAGTAAGGGTAAAATGAAACGATTTTTCCCATGCTTGGTAGTAAGAACGTTTTATGATGTAATTTGTGTACAATATTTTAAAACGTTTTCTGTAAAAAAAAAAACGAAAATATTGAACAGAAAAATGTTTAAAAACAAGACTAGTTTTACTATTTTTGTAAATTTTTAAGTGTCCATGTGTTTCAATATTTCAAAAGTTTGCATTTTTCATAAAAATTTTCCTATAAAAATTCAAATTTATTGCACAACCATATATTGCGTTATTCAAGATTTTAACACATTTTTTAAATTTTTAATTCATAAATTCCATAAAAAATCCCATGTATATTTTTCCAAGAAAGACTTCATTCTTCTCAATTTTGTTTCAGACGTCATTTCGATAAGAAATGACGTTTTCATACTACGATTCAGTGTTGGGAAAATATCAAAAAATCAAATCTCGCCAACGCCCAGGATCACGCTTGATTTTCGCAGACAAAAATGAAAATCAACAAGCAAACAACTGCGGTTGATTTTGCAAGTTGTGATATCGCAGTTCAGAATATCAAGCTAACCAAACTCACCAGCTGCAAATCTCAACACACTGTGGTGAGATTTAATCACATGATTTATGCTTTACACCCGAACGCTACCGAAACTTCCATAACGGCTGGCAGCAGTCGCTTCGTATCTGCCATCGATGAAAAGTAAAAAGAGATAGCAAACTACACTTTCTCTTTCTAAGAAAACGATGTACAACCATAGAGGTAACTCTAAGACTAGTAGGTCCCGAAGAAACGTGCTCAACTTTTTGGCTCAGCTCTGGTACTATCTTCGGTCCCAAGCTAATCGATTCACCCCTCGAAACATAGGAAAATCCACTAACCCCTCATTTTATCTGTCAAACTTTCATAGCGAATCAAAACAAACAGATTGTAGTACTAGAATTTTGACTAGAATGGGGTGCGTTAATCGATTTGCTTGGGACCAATAGGCTAGTCAAGTAGTGAGTCAATTTAAAATCGTTAGTTTCGTATTGATTGTTGGTACAACGGAGTCATTTTTGTGTCGAGTTAACTCTCAGCTTGATTTTTGCACGTTGTGAATAGTCTCGCAATGTCAAATGAGCTTGTAAAATCAATATCAAGCATGACAATTTGTTTCAATATCACGCGTGATATTGAGAGCGTATGAGGGGGAAAAATACCAATTGGTTGATGATTTTGCCAACACTGCTACGATTAATTGAAAACTGTCAAATACGTCTTTTTGAAAGAAATTGCAATATACAAAATGGCCGAATTTTATCGCAAATGGTAATTATTTACTATAACAAACAACTATGCAAATTTTCATGCAAATCGGTGATAGACAAGTCAAAAATTCATTTTTGTTTTGCTATTTGGCCTGGAACTGCTCATATGAATTTCATAAGCGTGACTTGTAACATGAGGTAGCTCTTATACGCCTCTTATATAGTTAACTATTACATTTTCCTAAGCGTTAAAAGACGAGTGATCAACATACGGGCCCCATGATCTCAACGCTCATGGTTCGGTTCCAGAAATTAAACGAAATTCATACTGATTTCTTGTGGCTAAAATTCATAATATGGAATTCTTACGTTCTTTTGCCTACGTGTAGATAAAACATTTCTATGGTTTTGATAGATGAAATCGCTGCACATTTGAATCGGCCGTTATGAATTCCCGATCGAGAGTTAAGTTTAAGTTTCATGTCGGTTTGTCAGCGAATTAACAGCGCCATCGGATAGGGGAAACTTTCCCCAACCCACTGATGGTGGCGTGCGCAGGCGAGCCTTGAGTCACGAGAAAAGGGTTTCCGATGTTTTGTTCGCAAAAACTGATGTGCTCTTTTCTATTGTTAGTCGTGATATGCTGGATTGGTTCCATTATTTGACAGCTCAATTAGTTCACCAAATTCTATCCACCAGACAATACATATAGCGACTATACTTGCTCTCATACACTGTACCGAAACATCATCCCCTTTTCGAATGAAACCTCAGAGCAATCAAACCGAAACATCGAAATCGCTTCTTCGAATGATAGCTGCAACCGAATGACGGTTGTTGTGTAATCCGATGATGCTCCTCTCGAATGCATGATAAACAGACTTCAGTTGAAATACGTAATTAAAGGCTTTATTCGTTATCTCACTAGACTCACTCGTTTATAACTGCCTAACTACAAAGCTTGACTCAGTTACTACACATTTAAAATGAATGGAAAGTTGCACATTAACGCTTATTTACAGGTGAATCTGTGATGGTACCGTTACGGTATCATTCAAATCAGTCAAAAAATGACGTCTGCGTATATAATTTAAGTTTCGTAATCAAAAATTAAAATAAACTTCAAAAATAAATAACTTTGGTACGTTATAAAAAAGTCATTAGAGAGATACTCGTGCAAGCCACTTGGTTCATATTCAAATATTTGTTTAGAATATTACATCTATCTGGTAGCATATGGCAACCAATCGTATCGTATCTCTTAAAGGGTGATACGGTCAAAATTTGGTCAATATCAACTTGACGTATTTCTTTCAATTTTGCATTTAAAAAACCTGAACACCCCTCATTTTGAAGGTGTGTGTGTGTAGAATGTTGCTCCTATTTTGATTTTGGAATTCACTCTTCAGTTGTCAAAATGCCGTCCAAGCAAGAAGAGCAGCGTATCAAAATTTTGCTCGCGCATCGCGAAAATCCGAGCTACTCGCACGCAAAGTTGGCAAAATCGCTAAAAGTTGCCAAATCAACCGTTACAAATGTAATTAAAGTGTTTGGGGAACGTTTGTCGACAGCCACGAAGTCTGGATCGGGGTGAAATCGAAAACCGGAAGCCACTGAGACGACAAAGAGAGTTGCCGGTAGTTTCAAGCGAAACCCTAACCTCTCTCTCCGAGATGCCGCAAATAAGCTGGGTGTATCGTCTACAACCGTGCATCGAGCCAAAAAACGAGCCGGACTATCGACTTACAAGAAGGTAGTGACTCCAAATCGCGATGATAAACAAAATACGACGGCCAAAGCGCGATCCCGGAGGCTGTACACGACGATGCTGACGAAGTTTGACTGCGTGGTAATGGACGACGAAACCTACGTCAAAGCCGACTACAAGCAGCTTCCGGGACAGGAATTTTATACGGCAAAAGGAAGGGGAAAGGTAGCAGATGTTTTCAAGCACATGAAACTGTCAAAGTTCGCAAAGAAATATCTGGTTTGGCAAGCCATCTGTACCTGTGGCTTGAAAAGCAGCATTTTCATAGCTTCCGGGACTGTCAACCAAGAAATTTACGTGAAAGAGTGTTTGAATAAACGTCTGCTGCCTTTCCTGAAGAAACACGGTTGTTCCGTACTGTTTTGGCCGGATTTGGCATCTTGCCATTACGGTAAAAAGGCCGTAACTACCTGTGGTACGCCGCCAACAACGTGCAGGTGGTTCCCAAGGACAAGAACCCTCCCAACACGCCAGAGCTCCGCCCAATTGAGAAATACTGGGCTATTGTCAAGCGGAACCTAAAGAAGACCAAAAGAACTGCTAAGGGCGAGCAGCAGTTCAAGGCAAACTGGCTTTCTGCGGCGAAGAAGGTGGACAAGGTGGCTGTACAAAATCTGATGGCAGGGGTCAAGCGTAAGGCCCGGCAATTCGGATTTGGAAAAGCGGAAGCCTAACTGAATATTTTTCCTGAATTTCATACCAATTGAACTTGAAAAAGAAATTTAATTTGATTTTTTAAATAAACGATTTCACCGATTTACACGCGTTTTCCCTTGACCAAATTTTGACCGTATCACCCTTTAATACACAAATCTTCAATTTCCCAGTCCAAATTGCACTGCAAACGATTCATATTATAACAAATTTTGCCCTTAGAACGTGCAGGCAACATTCTCAAGTTTGTGTATTAAATGCATTTATGCTCCCTGTAGAATGATTGTCGTCATCTGCTGCTCTGAGCTGACAAATGAGGTGGAAACATAGTCATCGCTATCAGAGTTGAGACAAATATTGTTAAAGCGTGGAAACCGAAGTTTGTCTATTTCGTGGAAGAGGAAGTACAAACGATTTTTGTATCCATGGTCATGGCTATTCCATGTGGAAATGTAAACAGTTGAATTATAAATCTAATCTAAAGCATTTGCTAGCCATCCTATTCTTAAATTGGTGTATGTTTTACAGCCAATTTAAAAAAAATATCATCCTTTATTTGGATGACAGTTATATGGATGCTCATCAGTTGATGACGAATTCAACCATAAGGTAATCATTTGAAATTCAAACGCATATTGTTAAAGGGAAATGCAGTAATCACTTAAAGTATCGCGGATGTTTTCGTTCTTTGTACAAAGTACCATCAAGGGGCACTAAGATGGTGATTTTTGCTGATGTAATCACACTTATTTAAAATAGTTCCAGTGCTCCAAAATTGCTGAAATTTTTGATTTCGGTTCCATTTGACATGCAGATAACGAATATGCAATTACCTCAATACCCCTAACGAGCAATTCTGGCTGACATTTTTGAATACAGAGATGCAAAATGAGATCCCAAAGTGCATCAATCCTTCCAAATACCTTCTCCATGTTACAACTACAAGGGAATTAAAAATAGACACTTAAAACCGAAGGGGCTGTCCTATAAAGCTCCAAATGGATATTTTCCCGAAGGAATTTCGAACCGTAGTTGCCTCCTTATTTGCATCAAATCATGTTCTCTTGAAATTTCAGCTCTCAATTAATTTTTCCAAGGGACGTATCTGCTTTCATAAACAAAGATTCAATTGTCAATTTGTCGAAACTCTTAGCCAGAGCTGGTAAATATCACGGCCGTCATGTAACGATGAGAAAACAGGTCATCTCACTATCACGAGCCGAAACTACCTATCATTAGCTTTGTTGTCATTTTTCAATGATCATGCAATCATGAGAATAATTCTTATGCGGTTTTGACATCAACATTTCTAACTGATTTAGATGAATTTAAGTAAACAACCGTATGTAATCGGTAGAGTGAATATATTATTAAGATTTCCTCGGTACAAGTAAGTGTAATAGCATTAAATGAGCTAGTAATTACGATGATCACAACACTGTCACATTCTGTCATGACAAAAAAATCGATGAGATTTAAAAAAAATCTCATCATCGTTTTCTCATCCAATGATAGTGACAGAAGTATCTCTGTAAATATCGCGTGAGATCTTTCATTGAAAATGACACTTACCAGCCCTGCTCTTAGCACTCCCACTAAATCTAACACCACCAGTAGAAGGGGTAATGTTTGCCCAACAAGTTGTTAGTTTGCGTGGGAGTGCTAAGAGTTTCAACAAATTGACGTTTGAATCTATGTTTACAAAAGCAGATACGTCGCTTCCAAAAAGTAATCGACAAATAGCCCATTCGGCCTTTTCCCCCTTCGAGTAATGGTCCCTTTGACTAATCGTCTACCGTTTACCATCGGCTTTTGACGTAGGATTACGTCTTTCGGCAACATTTTTGGGGTACAATTTAAAAAAAAACCAAAATCGACCGCGTTACGAAAAGTGGTCAGGTTTTGACCACTTATAACTCTTTCAATAGCGGATGGATTTTAGTTCTAAACAAACCAATCGATTGGTAATTTTTCTACAAAGCTGCTAAAATGAATACTTTATCAATTTTTAATAGGGCACTATTGAAATGTTCAACTGTTGCAATGGTGATCAAAATTATCACCGAATGCCTGCAAATAGTGGTTTCCCTAACATAGTCGCCAAATATTGATACCTGGTACGTAATCCTACGTCAAATCTACGGTCGTGTCTTGGATACACCCTCTTACTTTCTTTTTGTTCTCATGCATCAACTGAACACTCACCCATAATCACGCTTTCATTTCTTACTGTGCCAGCTACAACCCAAATAAAAAAAAACTAGTTCGCACAGGTTACACACCCACTTCCGGCTCTGTTATCACACACAACACACCATGCATCAGTCGGCAAGTTTGTACTCACCAGTAGCAGTTCTCCCACTTGCACACAAACTGCTCGATCGAACGGGAGCCCACCTCGCCGAGCAGGGGAACCACTTGCTGGTTCTCCACCTTCATGATAACGGAATTGCGCGCCGGGTATAGGCGCCCATCATTATTGCCACTACTGTCACTAGCACTGCCACCGTCATTATTGCGATTACGTTGGCCATATCCAGCGTTACTGCCGCCCAAATTACCGCCGCCGCCATTAGCCGAACTCAGATTCGATAATCCGTATCGATCGACGACCGCATCGGATGCAGTGTCGCTACCATGGGTGTCATTTCCGGCTAGGATGCTGTCGCCATCGTTGTTGGCCGCTGTGTACAACAGTGGCGGTGTGTGCGGCGGCGATAATGGCACCGATGTAATTTCCTCCTTCCCAGCTGCATTCATGTAAAAATACAACGACTGGCCATTGTCGATAGATCCCAGCATCCCAGCGGAGGATGACGATGATGATGATGATGACGACGACGTAGGGGATGAGGAGCTCGTTGCAGTCTGCCTCACTGGTGATTGCATTGTTCCGGCTGATGGGAGTACGTAATCGTACTGGTAATGGTACGGTGGGGTTATTGGAAAGTATCCAAGCCGCTCATTTGTCACGTTCGCCGGAGAGGGCGGAAGGAAGTACAGCGGCGATAATCCCATTCTGTAGGGAAAGGTTTCTTTGTTTATTATCATTTCTGCTTTCACACTCGCGGGTTTAATATTTTGTTTGTATTCTATTCAATCTCGGATTGAAGTGGTTAGCTTATTTTTGTTTTTTTCATTAATCAACTCAGCATGACGAACTGTACTGTATGAAGTCAAAAATATCACTAAAACGGGAGTGTTCGGATGATTCCCGTTATAAGTTCATCCAGACCTTTGCTTCGGGGTGGGTTTACACAGCCAGAGCTCGCCAGCGTACGAGAATTGATAAGGATTGCAATACAGCGAGTGAGTTGTAGCTTGGTCCAACGTTGCTACATAGTCGCGTGTAAACCTGCTATGGGTTTTCAAAACCTAATGAATCAAACTCCATACCACTGGGGGATCGAATTCTACTAAGAAACTCAAGGCTTATCAGCACACCCCTCGTGGTATGAGTAGCATTCGATTGTATACCAATTAGACTTGCAACCTGCGCAAATCACGTCACCAGACCACCACTTACGTCATATCGGTTCAATGAATCAAGCACGTAATATTAATCAAAACCTAACCGTTTAAACTTCAATTGTTTATCTTCATTTGCATCCAGTTTTTCGTAAAAAAAAAAACATCTATCCCAGATATGACTTTCGTCCTGCTGCCCATTCCATATGTACATGCCACAGCAAGTGGGTCGGAGTAATTAAAACCAAAAACTACGCAGGGCAATTTCGATGTCTAGACGCGCCAAACAGTACCACACCGCTCGAATTATGACGAAAATACGCTACACTTTGATCATATCAATTAAGCCGGGCTAGACTGGCAGCGATGAGTTATATGATTGCGTCGTGTCTTGTTCAGTAAGTAAACTTTGTAGGCCATTTGTTAAGAACTATTGGCAATTGATGAAAACGAAAGAGAAAAATAAATTGGAGGATCAGTGAGTTAGATTCCTGCTCCGGTCTGGGAATATTTCGGGTTGAAACATTTCTAATTTTCCCTAGGCATAGAGTATAAGTACAATTACTGCCACACAGTTATACTAAAACAAAAATAGTAATCGAATTAGAAGCTCTCACTTAACAATTGGGAACTAAGGAATTCTCCAAACAGCAAAAGTTCGGTACACTGAACTGTTGTAAATAAATTCATATTCATCCAAAAAAAGGTTACAGCTTTAAAATTTAATAGTTCGATTGAAAATACATAGAACAACCAACTGGTGAAAATGAGGGGTTCGTGGATTTTCCTATGTTTCGAGGGGTGCATCGATTAGCTTGGGACCGAAGATATGTGAGCCAAAAAGTTGAGCACGTTTCTTCGGGACCTTCTGGTCTAACAGTTACCTCTATGGTACAACACTGTGCGGCGTTTATAATCGTATATCAGACCCATATGGAAATCAAGTAAATTCCTACAAAATCCCATTAATGTTTGAGGATGGAAAATTATTCTTAAAATTTGGCAACACTGTACACGAAGCAGCAGCACATCGACTGATAAGGTTTGAATAAATTGTACGCCAAAGCAAATACACCCTTGTGAAAAATCACGCTTGTTTCCAAATGACCCCCGTGAAACATAATTGTTGTACTATACCGGAGACCTGTGTAAAGTTTCATCAAAATCTAAGATTATTTGCGCATGATATCGGCTTTCCTCCATGCTGAGTGAACCCCCACACAACGTGACTGCCTCGCGCAGACAGCAGCAGGCGGCAGCTGGCAGTGCTGCTAGAAAAAAGAATAATGAGCAGTTCGTTTGGTTAGCAATCAGTAATGGCTAAATAACTTTTTCCACAAGCGTCGGATCGTTTTGCGGTGTTGAAAGAAAAGTTTCCTTGTAAAATTTCCTAGGAAGTACAAGGGTTGATTTATTTTTAGAGGACAATGGATGACCTCAACAGATTTTTATTAGAAAAAGTAAGTTTTCCTATAGAAAATCCTATGTAAAATTAAAACCGCTGGTGCTAAAATATAGTTCCACCGACAGACCTGAAATTTTACACAGTTATTCTAGGACCCAGAAGGCCCCCGGAAATCATACTGGAACTGGAATTTGAATTTTGTCCCACCCTACTGTACATTTGTTTTAACTAAGCATCGTATTTTTTTTTGACGTTGGACTACGACTGTGATTTCTATATGGGGGGTACACTTTGTGAAAATTTAAAATGGAATATGTAACAAAATTATGAAAGATTTTGAACGTTAATAACTCAGCTACCCCTAGATCAATTTCAATAATTTTATCACCAATCGATTAGAAATATTTCTACGCATCTGTTTAATTTAAAACTTTATCATTTTTCAAAATATCACTATTTTTAATCGCACGAATAAGCAACTGTTGCTATGATAGTTAAAATTATCACCGATTACCTGCGAAAAGCGATTTCCCTAACACAGATTTCAAAGTCTATGTCTCGCCAAACGGTGTTTATTCAATCACCGCGTGGTGAGTGGTGGTGTTCCCCAGTACACAACGAAAGGCTCTCCGCAAGCAGCCCTCAACCACTGATCGGATTCAGTTCCAATCACCGTGTGTGGTGGTGTCTGGTCGTCGGCATCAGCAGCAGTGCTGTCGGCACGTGGCGTTGAACATAGTTCTCCAGTATACAACGCCCACTTGAGTATCCATAGAAGGAGGAAGAAGCTGCATCGCTATTGATCGGAATCAGTAGCTCTACGTCAGTCGCTGTGGGCCATCTATGCCAAGCGCGTCATCCTCATTCCAAACAACACACAGCTCACCAGTCTTAGCTGTGTTTAACACCCTAATAGCTCAGCATTACGACAAAACGGTCCTTTCCAGGACCACCATAAATTTTTAGAAGAGTATTTTTTGGACATTTGTCAAGGTCATCATTCGGATTTCAGTTCCCATATCAAGATAGAGCTGAAATTGGGGCGTAACAGCTTTTGTAAACAATGACTTATTTCGATAATGTCTTAAAAAGCAAGGCTCACCCTTACAAATCAACATCACCATCAGGTAGGGTAAGACTTCCCCTACCCGACGGTAATGATGATTTGCGTGGGTGTGCCTTGAATTCCTAAAAATCATCGAGAGAAGTCATTTTTTGCACTCAATTCCAGCTCTATCTAAATATGTTTAAATCCAAAATACCATGTAATTTAAGGCAACATTGGGGGTGCCATTTCAAAAACCAAAGTCGGTCGCGGCATGAAAGTGGCTTGATTTCAATCCAGAGATTTTGGATTTTAATTCTTAATTCGCCAATCGATAGGACATTTTTCTAAAAATCTGTTAAAATTAAGACTTTATCATTTTTCAAAATGTCACTACTGAAAATTGCACGAATGTGCAACTGTTGCTACGATAATTAAAATTATCACCGATTGCCTGCGAAACGAGATTTCCCTAACACATATTTCAAAGTTGAATTCCATCCGGTCTCACTAAACGGTGTTTATTCAATCACCGCGTGGTGAGTGGTGGTGTTCTCCAGTACACGACGAAACGCTGCCCGCAAGCAGCTAGCTATCAAGGCATCCCTCAACCGCTGATCGGATTTAGTTCCGTGTGTGGTGGTGTCCGGTCGTCGGCATCAGCTGTAGCAACAGTGCTTTCGGCACGTGGCGTTGAATATTGTTCTCCATTACCCAACGGAAGGCTGCCTGCAAGCAGCGAGCTGCAACCCACATGAGCATCCATAGAAGGAGGAAGAAGCCACACCGCTATTGATCGGAATCAGTAGCTCTTCGTGAGTCTCTGTGGGTCATCTAGAACAGAGAGGACCCCGCTCAAATTCCTATTCCTACACGAAACACATGCTCCTGCGGCAGTTATCAAATAAGATTTATTAGTTAAGACCACGGAGTCCTACGTACAACCTTAGGGCTATCCCTTGTAGTTTTTTACATAAAAACATCTGAAACAGTAGGCGATAGAAATTAGTTTTCATGCTTAGAAGAGCGGGCGAAAATAAAATAAAAAAACATTTCTTTTTCACATAATTTTTGACATTATTTGCCTCATCTGTATTTCAGGAAATACGCAGATGACTCTTTGTCGATAAGTGTTTCTTATCTAAAAACGGATGGGAAATATGATGGTGCTGTCAGATTGGAAATCAAATAAACACTGCACAAAAATAATAAATCTATATTTAGATGCTTTGTCTAATTTTCTCATGAAAACACTCTGTATTGTAATTATAGCTTTGTACACACTTAAATTAATTTACAGGTGCCAAATTACTGGACAAGTCGGTTAAAATTCAAATTACCGATGTACGTAAGGAATCAATGAAATCGACTAAATTTATTTTCTATCGTTAAATGGGGTTAACATAACTAAGTGTGTGCAAGTTCGGGATAAATTTTCTCATCTTTGAATTTTACACTTACAGTATGCAAAAAAAGTTTATCCACCCCCCCTACCACGTAACATTTTTTTTTGTTTTTCTGGTGAAAATCAGTTTAATTTTATGAGTGTTCCGCCATGATTTATCAATTTTTGTTTATTTATCACATTGCCATTGAAAATACGGCGTTTATAGCTTTTCTTGAGATTTCATGTGATAAATTATGAAAAATGGTAAAAAATTACGCAAAAAAAGTTTATCCACCCCCAAACGGATACTATGATTTAAGTGTGTTTTACAGAGTTTTAGTGTGTATTCTGCAACTTTATCAAATGTAAACATTGTGTCTATCTGTCATTTAGTGCTCTGAAAGTTTTCGTGCTCAAAATTTCAGTTTTGTGTTCAAAATTGGAAGTTATTTGTTTCAAAATGCCCAAAAAAGACCAAATTTCGATCAGTATCCGAAATTTGAGTATTGAACGTCACAAAACTAGTAAAAGCTATCGTGATATTGCCGATATTGTCGAGATTCACAAAGATACGGTCGCTAGAATTGTGCAGATGTACAAAAAGCGTGGTTCTATCTCACCAGCTAAGCGATCGGGGCGTCCTTCAAAGACAACTGGCCGAATTGACAGAGCTATCGTGAAGAAGGCAGAGCTGGACCGGGGACTATGAGCTCCAAAAATTGCGAAACAGATTGAAAGCGAGTTTTCCATTTAGCTGACATCACAATCCGTACGAAATCGTCTTCATAAGAAAAGTCTTAAGGGCAGAGTAGCTCTTAAGAAGCCATGGTTGTCCGCATAAAATTTTAAAAAAAGATTGAAGTGGGCCCAGGACCACATTTC